AGGAGCACAGAAACTGATGGCTTAGAAGTGTATGAGAGAGAGAAGAATTAAGAGTACTGGAAAGTGACGTCAAGTCAAAAGGTTAAGGTTAAAAAAAGTAGTTTTTATTATTGAGATTTAAAAATAAAACAATAATTTAAAAAAATATGTCATAATAGTAGCAAATAATGTTTATTATTTATATAGCTTATTTGTTTCTAATTAATCAACATTATTTTCCATTAAGTATTTAATACTTGCCTCCTTACTGATTTACATCAAGCTCTTGTTTCATTATATATTAATATTGTGGAAAAAATAAATAAATTAAAATAAGAAATTGGAATAAGCTGGATAAGATAAACTAAAACAATAATTTTAATTCTCAATAAATAATACAAAAATAAAATAAAAACGAAACAAAACGATGAGCTGAATAATTCAAACAAAATAGTTAAAAACCATTGAGGCAATATGGAAGAAGTTGCTGATGGAAGCAGAGAGAGACTCAGCTAGGCTTCGCTGCAAAGTGCCACCTGGCTGCACAGATGACTGTCCACATTTCCCATTTCAAACTTGGCTTTTTATGAAAGAGACCTGCCAAACAGCATTTAGCGTGACGGAAGGTTGTAGTTAAACATCAAACAATTAGCCAGGTCTTATTTCCACTTTAAAGCGCTCCTGTCTGTCACACCATATCTATCTCTCTAAGCCCTGCGACAGCAGTGCAGATCAAGGCTATTTTATTTTCTCTCACGTTTTCTGTGATCTTGTGGCACAATCATGCGCTCCAGCAAACAAAAGATGAAATACTACAAATACGAGCTCTGCCAGAAGAACTCTATGCTATCCCCAGAAGAAACAGAAAACTCTCATTAAACAAAGAGGGCTGCAGTCACGGCCGGCAGTGATGGAACGAGATGACTATTGGTTCAACACTATACGAAAATGACCAACTTGGCCTCTGTAGAGTTCTCTGTAAAACACAGCTGTTTGCAGCTATTAAATTAATCTATAGACATTGTAGCACATCCTGGGTTTGGTAAAAGCTAGGGAATATAACCTGATGCATGCTGAATTGGTTAGATTTGATTTTTGTTGCCATAGCAATCAGTAAAGCGCCAAAGGCTGCATATCTGGATGGTGGGAGCTGCAAACAAAAAATGTGGCTCTCAGCTGCAGTTTTCTCACCTGCAGAAAGATCTAGAAGCTTATTTATATTTTGCAGAATATACTACTTTTTTTTTTTTAAATTGACTATTCAGTGGAATGCCTGAAATAATCGGTTTTCAAGAAGCCTTATGATTATTTCACTGGTTCCAGTTCACATAATCCCAATACGACACATTTGAAAAGGTGGCTTTGAAAACACGTTTTTTTGTTAAAAAAAAAAAGGGGGAAAAAAAATTATATTTTAAAATATTATATTAAAATAATTTGCATAGTTTTTCTAATCAAACAAGCATTTTCAATTTTCAACCCAGTGCCTATAATGTTCAGTTTCAACTTTTCACTTTGGTGCATCACTACTTCTGAGAAAGGCAAAGGAAGCTAAGATCAATGCTGGCAATCGGCTCAATCAGAGATCACAGCTGGCATTAAGCTTAAATTGAATGAAATCATTAACACTACTGAGCCACTGGAAAAAGATGGAAAAAGATAATGGTGAGGCAATGCAAAGGATGATACAGCAGTCATGATCGATGACCAATTGCACCGATTTGCATTGAAGACGCAGCAAAAATCCTTGGAGCCGCAAAGTGTCCAGTCAGCAGATAAAGGCAGGACACATCCATATTTACAGGCTGTCAAATAAGCATGAATAAACTTAAATCAGGCCTTTGGGAGAATAACAGTAAAATAAACATAACACGGCTCTAGGAAGTCAAGCTTTTAGACAGGAAAAACATTACACCAAGTCTGAACCAAGAGCTATGCAAAGTTCCCAGCAATAAACAATTTGTACGGTGGCCGAGAGAGCTCAACGCGCTGCAACTTAAGAAAACACATGCAAATTGAAAAATTGTGAGGATTTGCAGCGTGTTTCTTCATTTGCATGTGTTGTGAGGATTTGCAGCGGTTTCTTCATTTGCATGTGTTGTGAGGATTTGCAGCGCGTTTCTTCATTTGCATGTGTTGTGAGGATTTGCAGCGCGTTTCTTCATTTGCATGTGTTGTGAGGATTTGCAGCGCGTGTGTTGTCAAACTGATGAAGATGTTTTCTTAATTTGCTGGTGTTTTTTCAATTTGCATGTGTTTTCTTAAGTTGCAGCGCGTTGAGCTCTCTCGGCCACCGTAAATTTGTCCATTCACACTGAACGTGAAATTATTGTGCAAGACACAACACAATCACAGCCAATCAGAAGATAATTCATGTTTAACATACAGTTGTGAGGAACAATAGTTTGGACCAATGAGATTTCACAATGAGCTGGGCTACGAGAAATAAAAACCAAGCGATCAACAAATACTTCGGGGCAGATTTACTAAACAGGGCAAATTAGCCAATGCTCAAGCGACAAAATTCTGGAAAAAAAACAAACAAACGTTAAACAATGATTAAGACTAAGATACCTCAGCAAAATCCTGATTTCAATCAGAATTAAAATATTTACAAAATAAATATGACATTATATGGTTCTATTTGCTGATTAGTCTGCAAAAAAACTACATAGATTCAAACAGATTTGGACAAAAAATATGATTTTAGTTGCCTGTCTGAATAATAAATATCCTGTTAGACGCTGTGGACAGAGCTAGTTAGAACAAAAAATATTTATATGCAAGAGAAAGTTTTTAGCACACTTGGGTAGCCACACTATCTTTGTTTCTTTCCCGAGGGTGAATGACAGAACCACCATAAGCTATTGGAAGGTGCATCTGAAATCAGGCCTTGGGTAAAGTAAAGTAATAAGTTGGAAACTAAATAAGGCATCCCTCTCAAGTAATTGGGTGTCCAAGAATAAGAAGCAGAAGGGACATTCATAACGGATTAGTTGGTTGGGAACGTATGAGTAGTGTTGTGTATAAGTGAGCGAGAGACTCAGGTAAAAGCCCTGAGGAAGCAGTCCTGCATCCACCAGCTGCTTCTTGTGATTTCACGCTTCATTGGCCTCATTAATGCGGAGCTGAACCGCACGCCTGTGGAGACAAACGCCGAGATTAGTCTCCACCACTCTCCTACTGCCTCTCACTTTTCCTAATGGCGTCTCTCAATCTCACACTTCTGCCTTTCTCGTTCTTCCTCCATGGACACCATGGAGCAAACTTTCTGGAGAAGAAACTGTGTTGCAGCCTGCGGAGAAGATGAAAGGGGAAATATGGGCTGCACACAGGCAGCGTTGGCCATTATAGTGAGAGTTGGAGGAAGATCATGGATACGATCTCAAAAACACCTGCTGAGAAAAACCACTCTAAGCAGACACCATACACAATATTTAACCATAGAGAAATGCAGAAAACCTTTAAAAACCCAACTCTGTCCTTAAAGGAATGGGCGTCTCTGCAAACTCCTATGACTTTCTTCTGTGGAACATAAAAAGTAAATATTAAAAAAAAAAATTGTTCATGCTGCTTATAGTAAAAATATTGGCTAGGTAGCTATCAAGATTCAAAAAAGTACCACAAAATTATCATAAAACTGATCCATATGACTTGAAGAAGCCATTTTTACTGAAAAACATGTTTTATGGTGCTGTTATGGTGCTTTTGGAGCAGTAACATTCTTCAAAATATCTTTTTGTGTTCCACAGAAAAAAAATTAACTTAAACTAGTTAAGCAAATTATGACAATTTGAAATGTTGGCTTCTGTTTAAAAGTTTGGGGTCTGTAAGATCTTTTTTATATTTTTGAAAGAAGACTCTTATGCGCATCAAGGTTGCATTTATTTGATCAAAAACACAGTAAAACAGTAATATTGTGAAATATTATTACAAGTTAAAATAGCGGTTATATTTGTATATATGTATGTTTTGTGGAAACCATGATACATTTACTTTAGGATTTGTTGATGAATAGAAAGTTCAGAATAACAGCATTTAATCTAAATAATTTTTTTTTTTTTGGTAACATTATAAATGTCTTTACTGTCACTTTTGGCAATTGACAATCAGTTTAATGTATCCTTGCTGAATAAATGTATTATTGTTTTATTCATTTGTAAAAAAACAAAAAACAAATCTTACTGGTCCCAAAAATTTGAATGGTAGTGTATGTAATTGGTGAAGTATAGAAGATATTTTGACATTTTCAGTCAAAGCTTCAGAGGTTTAAAAATCATCAGGGCTGCTTCAATAAACGCCGACAAGATAAATAAATCCAAATAAACTCACAAGTACAAACACACATTTTTCCTGGGAGACACCAGCTTTGTCAGCACAACTAATTAGGAACAACTCCTCTTGCAAGTCCATAAAAATACAACTGGGATAGAATTAACAGCATCTATATGTTCACATTTCATCTCATCTAGTCTGTCAGCACACAAAGTCACACTTGACCCCCAGAGACAGCTAAAAAATGGTTGTCAGGAATAATTGTGCGGTAATGAGCATTTCCACAAGATTCCTGATGGATCGATAAAATATGTTGCTTTTCTTTACAGGGGGACTTGACTAAACAAACCGCAAGGAAACCAGAGCAGCGTTTCTGAGTAGGAATCCTGATGCTGACCGATGAAATAAAAACGCTAAAATCTATAACCATGATGGTACGGTGGATGATTCTGAAGCGCAGAGCAAAAACAGAGAATTTTTTTTGTCAGGGCGATCATGTCAAGAAATGCAATGAAAGTGAAAACGAAGAGTGGTATTTTCAAGCGTAAGCACTATTGGTAGCAAGAAATTGTTATTTGTGGTTAAATTCAAAGTTCAATGTCAATATGGCAGATACAGTATGTAATACACATCTGAACGTCTTTCAAATTCAGTTCATACAAGTACTAGGAATTCAGAGAAAGGTATATGTGGTGGTAGACGGACAATGCTGAAAAACACACACACACACACACACTCAAACAAACCTCAGGCGCAGCAGTGGTTTCCTCAGTACGCTTGACCTCAGCCTCTGGTCCTCGCAGAGTCTGCAGGAAGAGGGCGGCTTTCCTCTTGCGCTCAGCCTGAAGCTGCCTCTCTTTGGACTCTTTGGAGGCCTGGGCGAGCTTCTCTCTCGCTGCAGCTGCTAACCGGTCCTCCAGCTTCTGTTTGGCTGGAAGAGAAAAGGGAGGAAAGGTCAGACACACACGTACACATTTGTCTTGATACACACCATATGCTCTGACAAATAAAAGCATAGGCAAGGGAGCTTGCGTGCATTGTGCGGTGCTTCTGCTACTAAGCAAATGCAAAATGTTTCTAGACGAGGCTGCTTGTGACTTACCTAGTTTTGTAAGCCAGCACGCCTCATAAAAACTGCATAGAGCTTAAAAAGCTACACAATAACGATGGATCGCATTTTAATGTTTCACATCTACCGCGATAGAATTATCCCTTCTGACATTCACTCTCTGCTTAGGTGTTTAAGGCTGCCTGGCTACGGATTGTATAACGGTTGATGGGGTCTCAGTTTAGCTAGCTTAAGTAGGCTTCTGTTCATGGGAACAGAAATAACAAAAGGAAAACGGGGAAAAAAACAAGTCATTATATTCTACAAGAACAAGAAGAGGGCCCTGTCAGTGTCCGCACTAAAAATAGGCCCCCTGCCACGGACAATCACGTATAACTCAGGAACAAACACAACTGGAGAGAGAACAGAGTCTTCTCCATTACGTCACTGCGAGTGAGATAATACTGTGTAACAGCGATAAAGAAAGATGAGTTGGGAAGGAAACTTGTTTGAGATGTCTCTCAATCAGCAAAGCTCCTTCCCACAATGTATTTCGACAATCGCAAGTTATTTGCACCGCCGTGAAACAAAAACAATCTTCAAGCCTTGCAGTCCTGTTACGATTTAACCTAATCCTCTGTTAGTGCAAGGCATTGTGCCCTCGCTTTAATGAGAGCTCAGAGACAAACCGCACTAAAAATGAAGAGCAGCAACTATTAAACTATTTCAGATGTGTTCCTGGAAAGGAAAAGAAAGGATTGTATTGTACATATTACTTGTACAATATTATAATATACAGTGGGTACGGAAAGTATTCAGACCCCCTTAAATTTTTCACTCTTTGTGATATTGCAGCCATTTGCTAAAATCATTTCAGTTATTTTTTTTCCTCATTAATGTACACACAGCACCCCATATTGACAGAAAAACACAGAATTGTTGACATTTTTGCAGATTTATTAAAAAAGAAAAACTGAAATATCACATGGTCCTAAGTATTCAGACCCTTTGCTCAGTATTTAGTAGAAGCACCCTTTTGATCTAATACAGCCATGAGTCTTTTTGGGAAAGATGCAACAAGTTTTTCACACCTGGATTTGGGGATCCTCTGCCATTCCTCCTTGCAGATCCTCTCCAGTTCTGTCAGGTTGGATGGTAAACGTTGGTGGACAGCCATTTTTAGGTCTCTCCAGAGATGCTCAATTGGGTTTAAGTCAGGGCTCTGGCTGGGCCATTCAAGAACAGTCACAGAGTTGTTGTGAAGCCACTCCTTCGTTATTTTAGCTGTGTGCTTAGGGTCATTGTCTTGTTGGGAGGTAAACCTTTGGCCCAGTCTGAGGTCCTGAGCACTCTGGAGAAGGTTTTCGTCCAGGATATCCCTGTACTTGGCTGCATTCATCTTTCCCTCGATTGCAACCAGTTGTCCTGTCCCTGCAGCTGAAAAACACCCCCACAGCATGATGCTGCCACCACCATGCTTCACTGTTGGGACTGTATTGGACAGGTGATGAGCAGTGCCTGGTTTTCTCCATACATACCGCTTAGAATTAAGGCCAAAAAGTTCTATCTTGGCCTCATCCGACCAGAGAATCTTATTTCTCACCATCTTGGAGTCCTTCAGGTGTTTTTTCATGTGTCTTGCACTGAGGAGAGGCTTCCGTCGGGCCACTCTGCCATAAAGCCCCGACTGGTGGAGGGCTGCAGTGATGGTTGACTTTCTACAACTTTCTCCCATCTCCCGCCTGCATCTCTGGCGCTCAGCCACAGTGATCTTTGGGTTCTTCTTTACCTCTCTCACCAAGGCTCTTCTCCCCCGATAGCTCAGTTTGGCCGGACGGCCAGCTCTAGGAAGGGTTCTGGTCGTCCCAAACGTCTTCCATTTAAGGAATGGAGGCCACTGTGCTCTTGGGAACCTTAAGTGCAGCAGAATTTTTTTTGTAACCTTGGCCAGATCTGTGCTTTGCCACAATTCTGTCTCTGAGCTCTTCAGGCAGTTCCTTTGACTTCATGATTCTCATTTGCTCTGACATGCACTGTGAGCTGTAAGGTCTTATATAGACAGGTGTGTGGCTTTGCTAATCAAGTCCAATCAGTATAATCAAATACAGCTGGACTCAAATGAAGGTGTAGAATCATCTCAAGGATGATCAGAAGAAATGGACAGCACCTGCGTTAAATATATGAGTGTCACAGCAAAGGGTCTGAATACTTAGGACCATGTGATATTTCAGTTTTTCTTTTTTAATAAATTTGCAAAAATGTCAACAATTCTGTGTTTTTCTGTCAATATGGGGTACTGTGTGTACATTAATGAGGAAAAAAAATTAACTTAAATGATTTTAGCAAATGGCTGCAATATAACAAAGAGTGAAAAATGTAAGGGGGTCTGAATACTTTCCGTACCCACTGTATATCTTTAACTCAATCACTTAGAACCAGTTCAGTCCAACTGTTGAGCGAATCATTCAAATCAGTTTTGTGAGGCAGACCAACTAATTTATTGAAAAGATCTGATATGATCCGTTCACAAATTGGACATTGACACTTCTCTCATTACCTCCACATCTCATGAGATCTAAGGTAGATTTCCAAATGTCAGGGAAAAATAACTGACATTTCAATAAAAGACATTTTTCTTTCTAAAAAGAAAATATAATTCGAAGTATTAAATAATATAATAGTAGTTTATAAATAATGGTACTGAAATAATACAGATTCACTGAACAACACTCATTCACTTCCATAAAAAACATTGTCAGGATGTAAATAAAACAAATCCCTTTTTGTGGCCCACTGAAGAGAGAAATTCATACAGGTGAGTAAATAATGACTGCTTTTCTTTCAGAATTGATATATTCCACAAGGTTTCACCTAAAATGCCCCAAAATTTAAACAATTAAAAATGATTAGCCATTTTTGCAAGTTCATGTATAGTTGTTACAAGTCTAAATATAGTCTAAAATACATTGCAAACAAATCAAGTCATATGTAATTCATTTGTTTTTGATCACTGCTCTTTTCAAAGAGCTTGTGTGCATTCTTAGATAAAGGACTGCAATAACGTTCCATATACATGTGTGACACGCCTTTTCAATGCAACCCACAGCACTTAACACCAGTAATTTGCTTGTGGCATTTCTAAAAGCAATGACTCGTAATTTTCTACATTTTCCTGCAAATTTCTTTTTTCTTGCATAATTTCTCATCTGCACACTTCACTGGCAGCCAATAACATTTTGACAAAAATCCAATAAGGCTACCTTTTGAGGTTTAATTTTGAAACTACAATTTGCAATATAAACAGGTAAGCTCTGGTAAATACACAAGGGGTGTAAATACTTTGCCTCTGCTTTCGCAACCACAAGAAACAGCAGAGAGTCGACCCAATAAAACTTTCACTCATGATCACGCAAACTCCCTCAGTAAATAAACTAAAGGTAATAGATGGACACATGAAAACAGACCGAGCGTTTGCTGAATTGTGCATCTGTGATTCTTTAACAGCTCATCAATACAGATTATGCTCCTCCGGATGGGTCGATAGTCATGCAATCTAAGCTAGTTTGCCACTGAGTGAGGCCTTCTTGGCTGCAGTGCCATTTATTTCACTTCCTCGTGCAGTAAACTTCCTCTGGGCATTTGGTCTTATTACTGTAATTACCCCTGCGTTCCAGGAGCATTACTGCTCAGTGCTCAGCGCTCGACCGGAGTGTCTGCCGGGTGCAGTCCGATGTCAGTGATGAGATTTAACTAAATTCATTTTTAATGGGGAACAAGAAAACCAATGCAAAGCATGCATGTTATAACGAAAGGTGCATCTCTTGTTAAACGAATAGTTCACCCGAAGTGAACATCTGTCATCATTTCCTCACCCTTGTGACGTTCCAAACTCTATGACTTTCTGTCTTCCGTGGAAAATGAAATATTGAACAATATCCTGGCTCTACTCTTTCACATATAATGAAAGTAAATGAGGACTAGGGCTGTCAAGCTCAAACATTCAAAAAAAAAAAAAAAAGTACCATAAAAGTAGTCCATACAATATCTGTATACTGTATAAACTTAGTCTTTCCCCTAGGTGACAATGATGTTTGGTCATGTAACAATGTCAAGTCAAGTCACCTTTATTTATATAGCGCTTTATACAATACAGATTGTGTAAAAGACGCTTTACAGTGTTAAACAGGAAAATAGTGTGACTATAATGCAAGAGGACAATAGTAAACAGTCAATGTTTCAGTTAAAGTCAGTTTATTGTTGATTCAGTGTTGTCATCGTCCAACTCAGTTCAGTCGTCTTCAAATAGTGTCTGTGCAATCAAGTCAACAATATGGCCAAAAATGGTGAAAAAATTAAGCAATGGCAAATCACAGGAATCAAATGTTTTACATCTGAAAACTGTCATATTTGAATAGATGCCAACGGCAAAAGGCAAGATTTTAGATGAATTTGAATCTCACACAAAATTAGACCATCATATTAAAGGGGTCATATGATGCGATTTCAAGTTTTCCTTTCTCTTTGGAGTGTTACAAGCTGTTCGTGAATAGATAAGATCCCTAAAGTTGCAAAGACTAAAGTCTCAAACCCAAAGAGATGTTCTTTATAAAAGTCAAGACTCGTCCACGCCCTCCTAAAACGCCTCTTTTAAACATGCCCCCACATGTCTACGTTACTGTGTGGGAAGATTTGCATAACGCCACCCAAATGTTCACGCAAAGAAAGAAGGCGTAACTTTGATTCTCGCTGTAGTATTGTTGCTGCCGCCCGCCGCCGCCATGTCGCGGAGACGCTGTGTGTTTCCTTGTGAAAGAATTGGATAAACAATCCAAAATATACTAATGTATCATTATAGCAAAAACAGGATATATACAATACAAATCAAAAGTTTAGGATTGGTATGACTTTTTAAAGAAAATAATATTGATAATATGTATGTTAATATTGATATATTTAATAAATTATATTTTTAATCAGTGTCTTTAAAGGAATAATAATTTTCTGCTTTCCATTGTCTTCCATTGCATTTTTTCCCCCATACTATAGAAGTCAATGGGGACCAGCGACTGTTCGGTCAACCACATTCTTCAAAATATCTTCTTTTGTGTTCAACAGAAGAAAGAAACTCATACAGGCTCTGAACAACTAGAGGGTGAGTACATTTCCATTTTTGGGTGAATTATCCTTTTAACTAATCAAAGTATCAGTAAAGACTATTACATAAAAACGGTTCTTTTAAACTTTCCATTAATCAAGAAATCCTGGAAAAAAAGTCACAGTTCCCAAAAAGGTTAAGCAGCACAACTGTTTTCAATATTAGTAATAAGAAGCAATGTTTTTTGAGCAGCAAATCAGCATAATAGAACGTTCCTGAAGGATCATGTGACACTGAAGACTGGAGTAATGGCTGCTGTTGCATCACACTTTTTGAAATGTATTAAAATAGAAAAACATTACTAATAATATTTCACAATATTACTGTTTTTACTTTATTTTGATCAAATAAATGCAGACTTGTTTCAAAATCTTACTGACCCCAAACGGGTAGTGGTAGTGTAGTTACAAATGGTAGTGTAGTTGGTCCGAAAATTTCCTGTTTTTAGGCAAAAACTCATTTACAATCTCTCATGCACATCTGCAGATCTCATTTCCGGTGTAGACGTTGTTGGTATTTTTGACTGCGAGCTGTCCTTCTCATTTTATCTGTGTGAAACACTCCCTCTTAATTACAGGGGACAGTTATTGCCACTGGTGAGCATGGTCCATATGGACAGATCTATTACATTAGATCCCTGGCCCTCGCCGGAGTAATTTAATGTGCTGCCAGTCATTGTGATGTGACAGCGATCAGATCAGCTCACTATTTTAAGTCTCTGAGGGTCAAAAGAACAATTAAGAAGTCCTAAAAGGGCAGCAAAATCCGGTAACTCTCGGCTTAATGTGATCATGATAAACTACAGATTGTTTCTCAATATTTTTCATCTTGTTACAGTAAAAGATGTCTAGCTTCTAAGCTTCTGGCCAGTGAGAAATTACATTTGGGCTGCAACAATTACGGTGAGGGAAATCAGCACGAGCTATTTTCCGTAATACTCCACAAACTGACTCATCTCTTCTGTTTGAACAATTTTTCAGAACATTTACAAAAGAACAGCCTTGAAAACAGCAGACAAGGAATTATTTCAATTTTAATACACTTACAAAACTTAACTTCTGAACTTTACAGATAGTGAGTCAAATCTAAAACTTGCTAATATGCTTGGCATTTAAAAAGATGGACAATGGTCCAGAAAAGAGTCTAGTGGCTTTAAAAGCACAGTTCAAAAATGAACAATTGATTTAATGTTCTTCCAAACCTTTGACTTATTCATTTTGAGAAATACTCTGGCCACTCTTTACCATATAATGAAAGTGAGCGGAGACTTTGAAGCTCAAAAATATTAAAAAGAGCATTAAATTTAAATAATCCTTCCTTCTTTTTCTGAATCCATCCTGCCTGTCTTCATTTCATGCTTCCTTTCTCCTGCCCTCCGTTCTCATTCTTCAATTTTCCCCTTTTCCTGACCTTAATTTCATCCTGTCTCTTCCTTCATTCTTTCTTCTTTATATTTTCATTCTTTCCCTCTTCCTATTCTTTGTTCTTTCTTCCCCTACGTTCCTTCCACCTTCCTGTTCTTTGTTCCTTGATCCATCATTTCTTCTTCCTATCCATTATTCCTTTCTTCACATTCTTCCTATATTCCCTCTTTCTGTTATTCATTCTCTTCCTTCCTAGCCTTCCTTCGCTCTTTCTGTTCATTGTTCTTTTCCTTCTTCCTGTCCTTAATTTCTCCTGCATTTCCATTCCTTCTAGCTCCCCTCTTTCTATTCTTCATTCTTTTTCCCTTCCTACCTTGCTTCTTCCCCTCTTCCTGTACTTTATTCTTTCTTCCCTCTTCCCGTTTTTTTTTTTTTAGGGATGCGGGGAAAATTTTCATTTCTCCTTTCTTCCATTCTTCCTATCTTCCCTCCTTAGTTCATTTATCTTCCTTCCTTCCTACCTACCTTATTTCCCTCTTCCTGTCCTTTGTTCATCCCTCCTTCCTTTCTTTCTGACTTCTGCAGATTTAAATCTAAGCTAATTTGTCATTTAAATCTATTATATGGCTTCAGACTTTAGCACATTATTCAAATGAAACTTTTTATTGAAGGATGCGATTCACAATTATACATTTTTGAGTTCCACACAGTTTTGATCAAGCCGTTGAGTAAATGCTGTCAGAAAGTTTATTTTTGAATGAAATAATTCTTTAGTGAAGATTTTGACGCACCTTGTTTGGCCTCTAGCTCTTCCTGGGACAGTACTGGTTTCTTCTCCTCAGCCAATAGAGGTTGAGGAGGCTCTCTGGCTGCTTCGACCAATCCTATCGCCAACCCCGCTCCCTCTTGCACCTCCCCCTTCATCCCGTCCTCATCTGAGTCGTCGTCCAGTCGCACACGATTCTTCTCCAGAGGCAGAAGGTCATTTTCTTTCGACTTTATTGCGAAGCAGATGGGCGCAAAGGATGCTGTGAAGGGAGCAATAACAGACACGTTATGTCTAGTGACTGTCTTTAAACTTCCTCACTCAGCACAAATCTGCTGCATAGGTACTGTCATTATGGTCAAAGATGTGATTATTACAGTCAAGCCCAATAGCTCATCTATATTTACATTAGCGGAGACACAGGGGTCAACGCTCAATTTTTAAACACTAAGTGACACAGCCTGAGCACAACAACAGCAATGAATGGATGGAGAGACATGGGATGGTGCTGCTACGTGGGTGCATGAGGACATTGGCTGACAAGGATGTTCTGAGGTCAGGTGGCGAGGGACTCGATCATGGAGTGCAGAGCTGTCTTACCTTTAAGGAGCTTGCCCTCGTTCTGCTGCTTGTCAGAAGAGCAGTTTGCTGTGCTGTCCCCCCCACTGTTGTAAAGCAGCGAACCCTGTGAGGTCGAGACGACAGGAACAGAGAGAGACAGGGAAGAGAGACACAAAGTTACTTTACTTTGCAGACACAGGTTAAGGATGAAAATCCTGAGCTCTCAGTTTTCAGACAAAGGCTCTCTCAAGAGCTTGACAGTATTTTAAAGGACTTTCTTTGTACTGAATATGTGGTTATTGAGTCAGTAACTCCTCTATACTGTTTACAGGTGAAGAAAAGGAGGCATGGGGGAAATGGAAGGAGTTCAGGCAACAGGCAGAGCCTGAGAGAGAACCCATCTCATTCTTAAAAGGCCACGTGTAATATTTTAATGTTCAAGTTCTTTCTATGTCCTCTTTCATTCTTTTTCTTCCCTCTCCTTCCTTACCGATTTCTTTCCCCTTTACTTTCTTCCTGCTAGGTTACTCTTCATTCCTGCTTTCTTCACCTTACTTTATTGCTGTTTTTTCCGCTTTCTTCCCTCCTGCTTACTTTCTTCTTTTTCTTTTTTCCTTCCCGCTGTCGTATTCATTCCTTCCTTCCTTTCATTTTATATTTGTTCCTTCCTTCCATCCATTTTACATTCATTCTTTCCTTCCATTTTACATAAATTCTACCCTTCCATTTCACATTCTTTCCTTCCTTCCTTCCATTTTACATTAATTCCTTCCTTCCATTTTACATTCATTCTATCCTTCATTCCTTCCTTCCATTTTACATTCCTTCCTTCCTTCTTTCCATTTTACATTCCTTCCTTCCTTCTTTTCATTTTACATTCCTTCATTCCATTTTACCTTCCTTCCTTTCTATTAATAGAAACAAAAAAGTAAGCTTTGTTCGGAAACAATATTTATTTTTTTGCAATTGTTTTCTGCCACAGAAATTACTTCACCTTTAATCAAAGAAAAATGAAAAGAGGGAAGAAAACAATTTCCCACTTGCTATATGCGGTTTGGTCTGAGCTCTATTAGGATGAGATGCAGGCTTTGAGTATCACTCTGGGAGCTACACTGATGGACGAGTATAATCTCAGGAACGTTCTGCAGCGGAGAGAATCACGACAAGTTCCTTCACGGTCATGCAGCCTGAGAGCAATGCAGGCCTGATGCTCATTTATCAACCATCTGCCAGCAGATTACATGCTCAAAAATGTCTAACTCCACCTCAATACATGTTGAAGACTGGACTCCATACTGTGGGGTGGTGAAAAACTCAATGAGGTACAGTGCCTCCATACTAATTAGATGTTGTTTTCCTTACTCTGACCCAAATCTTTGGGTTTTATTTTTTTGTTTGAGTCAGCGGAATAGTACAAATGAATATTCTACACTGCTGTACGCTAATGTGCATAGCCACTAATAATAGTGAATCACACACGCTGTGATAATCCCACATAATCTCACTGCCGGGGTTTTAAGTAACATGGAGAAAAGAAAAAAAAAAAACACAGAGTGAGAGGACAAAAGTGAATGATTCTGAAAGTTTAGTGTCCCTAATGGAAGTTTTCAATATTTTACAGCTCTATTAAAGAAGTGTCTGCAGATCCTCACTGTAGCCCTGGGTAAGATGAAGGGTCAGGAGGACATTAAGCCCAGTTAGAAATCTCTCGCCCAAAGATGAAAGACAAGATGAAGGAATTAAATCAGGAGATTGGATATGTGACCAGACACTCGATAAAGTGAAGAGAGACACTGTGGGGCAAGTGAATGTTTCAGTGTAGCCTGTACTCTAACCTAGTGTTGAGAATTAAGGTTTTCATTCAGATTCATTGAAAAGTCTTATTCAGATTCAGTTTTTAAAAAATACCAGAAGTAAAAAAAAATAATAATAAATTGGTGCCCAGTACATGAAAGAATGGAAACTATTTTAATTAATTGGTAAAAAAGTGGAAAAAGGAAAAACTGCTGTGAATTACAAGCGCTCTCCTGAGCAGTCCATTTGTTTCCGCCTGTTTGCGCTGCTTTAAAACTGAGAATTTCAGTGTGCATTGGTTTCCAGAGAGTCCTTTGTTAAAGACCTCTGCTTACATCACCAAATGAATATCAAATGAACATTAATAACACATCAAGAGTTGTTCTATAGTCTCCCCCTGTGAGCGACATTACTTCTCCAGCCTTGGGTTTCCTTAAAAACATTCTCCCCTGTAGAGATGGTGCCATACAGAATGTCTTCATCTTCTCATATAAAGGCGGTAATCCCTTAATCCTGTTTATGGGTAAAGTCAGCAGAAGAAATACATGCTGATGGACCATAGCATGTGGAAGTAGCTCTATAACAGCAAAACACTGATGAGCAAAGTGACTATGGGAGAGTTAGCATGCTGTAATTTAGAGTGTGATGGTAGGTGTCATTCATGAAGGCTTATGAAGAGATGTGATGCCATGGAAAATATGATTCTGCCATCATCTCTAAGAAAAAATCATCCGCCCACAATCAAATATACAGTGATTTTGTTAAATCACAAAATGTACATTCCAGAATATTTCTCAGAATATTTTTGCATTCACACTTCAGCCCCAATTCCCTGACACCACAGATTCCTTTTCACACTGTAATAATTGAACAGCGGTATGGTTGCGTCATCAGCACAGTCTGACAGCTGTTTAGCTCTGTAGCTAGCTAACAAATGCAAAGGGAAGGCATCAAAAATTTAATATATTGAGTTTTTTTTTTTTAAACTCATGTTTTTCTCCATTTGGTGGAGGACTGAAACCTATCTGAACAAAAAGCAAGGTTGACATGAAATTCGATTATCTTAAAATAAAGTTGCTGTTAAACAACAGGAAAGGTTAACAAATGGGAAACATTTTTACACAGTGATACGTGAACAAACTAAACAAAACACCCTTCTGTCACATTAGGTTACACACCGCCATTCAGAACACCATCAATTGCAAGAAAACAATGATAATAAATGTTTAATCAACAATATTGTTTTAGTTTATCTTATTTGAAGATTCTTTAACATTTCAACTGACTGCATTACATTTCAGTCTACATGAGCTGAAACATCTGACCAAACATGATACAATTATGTGTTAATACCTGTTTTGTCAAATTGCATGTTGTAAGAAAATGTACACAGGCAAAAGCAAATGGTTGTGACCCGCATTACATGGTTATTGCATCTGTCTTGCATCAAAGATACAAAGAATGCTAGCTGTTCACCTAAGGCTGTTTCTGCAGAGACAATCAGCAAAGGAAAGGCTTTGGCGCTTTGGGACTGATGCCTCGTAAGTGCGGTCGTCATCATGTACATCATCAATAACGGTTCACTTGGGTAAATTAAACCAGAATGTTTTCCAAATCGAATCCAAAACTCTTCAAGCAGACTTCCACAGTGAGGTTCCTCACATCCTAACTCCGAAAGTAACTTTCATGCAAACCGAACTGAACAACAGTCAAACAGACTGAAAACTCTAGCGTATCTTATATACTGCGAGTACAATGTTCACAAAACAGACTTTTTTTCTAAGCAGTGGCAAAACCACTTTTGTAACATGTAAGGATTCTCGAAAAAATTTCAGGTGGCAGAGAAACTGACAACAAAAATAAGTTTCTTATTCCAAAAAGTCAGAAGTAAAACAAAAGTACATTCCAGATAGAGGAAAACAGCAAATCAAAAAACTGCTTTGAAGAAACTGGTGACTTGTTTAGTGATGCTGCCTCTGTTCTCTTAATTAATTCGTTTAAATGAGCTGTTGGAGGCCTTGTGTACAGTTTATTATTTCCATTAATAAAGCCATCAACGCACTGGCATGAGGACAGTTGGGTTATCTGACAAATCCACTGCCACCCTGTCAGGGCATTCCCCTCCTGCTCACAGAAAAGCAGGGCACTGCAATAATGGATCAAACAACGACAAAACAAATTGGAATAACAAGGGATGGAATGGTGAGGGAGGAGAGGTGCAACCAAGGTTCACTTCCCCAGAGGAGAATACAATGAAAGGTGGCAAACAAAGAAAGCAGGGTGACTGAAGTGCTCTTTGGCTCTTCCACCTCTTCAAAGGCGAGCTGAAGTACAGCAGACCGAATGAAGAGACAAAGGCACAAATCAAGAACAATGGCTTTCAAATTGCAAGCGCAGAGCTAACTCGACTATAAAGTTAGATAAAATGCATGTAGATATAGTAATGACGACAATGAAAAGAAAGACTGGTAACTGACAAGAGCGAGAGATAAGAGATAGAAGGAAAAAGGGAGAAAGAAAGAAAAATACACAACACATCCCTCAACTTGTATGTGAAACATAAACCATGTCTACAGCCATGCAATTACAACTGAAGTCTATGGGGCAAGGTATTTACAGAGGAGGTCAATGGGGTAAAGCATTCACAATAGACATCTACGGGGCAAGGCATTTACAATGAAAGTCAATGGGACAAGGCTTTCAAAATGGAAGTCTAGGGGGCAAGACATTTAGAATGAGAGTCAATGGGACAAGGCTTTCAAAACGGAAGTCTAGGGGGCAAGACATTTAGAATGAAAGTCCACAGGGCAAGGTATTTGCAGTGGAAATCTACAGGGCAAGGCATTTACAATGGAAGACTATGGGACAAGACATTTTCAGTGGAGGTCTATGGGCCAAGGGAGGCTCATGTTTTGTTAAAGCACTTCTCAAAAAAACAAAAAAAACAAAAACAAATTGCTATTTGTCCATTAAACCATGTTTTTAGTGTCAGGACTACTGTTGTAGGCGGATGGTCAAGACAAAGTTGAAAGACTAGAATGCACAGAAAATATTAGCACTCTCACTGCTCTGATGTTAACACGTATAATATATAGAGTTTGGTGGATAAACTTTAAGAACAACTGTAATAGAGATTTGCATCACTGTACTTCTAAAGTATGTTAATAGAGCAACACCTCTAAAAAATTAAAAAAACAAAACCCCCATTAATGTTACAATAAGGTTTCATTAGTAAATGTGTTAACATTAGAAGATGAATTATCAACTGTAATAGAGATTTGCATCACTGTACTTCTAAAGTATGTTAATAGAGCAACACCTCTAAAAAAT